CACCCTTTACCTTGCTATGTGTCACGCTTTTATTAATCGTGGTCAAATTGGGTATCAACACACTTATACGCAGTTGATTAGTTTGGTAGTAATTGTTATAATTGTAAATAAATACAATATAGTTCCCTTTATAATAAAAAATATTATAATACTATCAAGTAATAATTTATTTTAAATATATTTAATAATTTAAGTTTTAAGATTGATTTAAAGAAAATAAGAACATATATTTTTTTTTACAAATTTAGTTATGAGTTTTTATCAATAGAATAATTTATAACGTAATCTTGAGTAGTCCGTCCAACTTTTAGGGATACTTAGATATAAGATGTCATGGTTTTATTTGAATTTTTTTATTAGCGATGGTTAAATTTTGAGAAAGATTGTGTGGTTAGTTGTATGTAATCTTGAGTTTATATTAAAATAATATTTTAACAATCACTAAAGTTGATTTGATGCACAATTGGTAGTGCTGTTAAATAAAATGAGTCTGGCTCGGCTCGGCTCGAGCTCGGCTCGTTAAGGCTCGGTTCGGCGCGAGTTCGAAGCCTTAACGAGCCGTGCTCGAGCTCATTTAAAGCTCGTTTGGTTAACGAGTCGAGCTCGGCTCGGCTCGATAAGGCTCATTAAGGCTCGAAAAGTGAAATTTATGTAATTTTTTATTATTCGGATCGTTAAAGCTCGAGATCGGCTCGTTAAGGCTCGAGCTCGAGGCCTTAACGAGCCGAGCTCGAGCTCGATTTTTGGCTCGTTTACTTAACGAGCCGAGCTCGGCTCGGCTCGTTAAGAGCTCGAGCTCGTGCTCAAACACCTTAAGCTCGAGCTCGGCTCAGCTCGTTTACAGCCCTAACAATGGGAGAGAGACAATGTGAATTGATACTGTGATACTAAGTTAAAAATTATATAAGTTGATGAATGGTAAATTAAAATTAATGTGATGTGTAAAATAATTGACTGCCATTATTTAATTATATGATTTTCTTGATTCTTGTAAGAGTGAGTCAAAATTGAGATAAAAGAAAAAAGGTCTGGTCCGATTAAAAATATTTGAATTTTGTCTTAATTTATTTAGCCAAGCAAGCATAAGTTTTTGATGTACCATTCATATTTTGTGAAGAAACTAGTTTGTTGGGCATAGCAGGGCCCAATTTAGATTATAAAATTGTTTTAATTAGGAATTAAGTGAGTACTATATAAGTCGTAATTGTTTGTGTTTAATTATCTTTATTCTCTTACTTATAAAAAGGAAGGGTGAGCCTCCAAGCTTGACACATGTCTGCCTTAATTAGGTGACATGTGTCCAACTTAGTTTCAAAACGACGACGTTGGTTTGATTACTTTAATTAACTTTAAAATGAGACGATTAAAATATGAAAAAATGAGGCCAGCTGTGTCTAGACATGGCCACGGGTTGACCCGGCCCGCCGAACCGGCCCGAACCCGGACCGAACCCGGCCCGGACCGGCCCGGACCCGCCAGAAAAATCTGGTTTTTGAACCGGAACCGGCCTTGTGAAGGGCCGGTCCCGGGCCTAGTTTGATCCAAAAAAACCGGCGGGCCGGTCCGGGTTCGGGCCGGGTTCGCGGGTTTTGAGCTGCCGGTTTTTTAAAAAAATTGGTCCGGTTGGCCCGGCCCGAACCCGGACCGAACCCGGCCCAGACCAGCGGTCAAAATTTTTTAAAAAAAAAAAATTAAAAAAAAAGACAGAACCCGGAAACCCGCCGGGTCGACCCGTAACCCGGCGGGTTACCGGGTTCAACGGTAACAAATTCAAAAAGAAAAAAAAAACGGAAATTTGTATACCGTCGGATCATCTAGCCGTTGGCAATCCGACGGTCGAGATTGAAGCGACCCGCCGGGTTTCCGGGTCGACCAGGAACCCGACAGGTTCCGAAAAAAAAAAATCTGAAAATTTAAAAAAAATTTC